TGATTAGTTTTAATGACTATTTCAATAAATAGAGGTATGTTTTGTCAGGATTTGGCTGTATTGTTTAATCATTGAAAATAATTATTAAGGTTTAATGGCTGAGGATGGATGGATGAATGGAAAGTCTTTTATTTGTGGGGATAAGCAGGACGTTCTAACTACACTACTAGTTCACAGGTGTCATGGGTTTCGCACTTATTGTATTCACCATCACTAGTACTGAGATGGTATAGGGTCCGTACTGTGGTTGTCGGACACCCTAAACTAGTGTAATCAGGCTGCTCCGGCTTCCATATTGTGCAAATAATAACTGCGTGTCCGGGATTCGTAAGGAGAGCTTCACGATGATTTGTGGATTGCAAAGCTTGTATGGCTATTCGCCCTTTTTCAAATGTGGAACACTGCCACAGTAAGCGGTGAAGGTCTGCGCGGCAGCGCAGCCTGCAGTTCTTGCACGTCACTGTAGCAATGTCCGGTTGTCGCCATTTTGCTAAAGAGTATGGTGTGTAAGCAGAATTTGCATAGAACTTATTAATGAAGACTTCTTGGGAGTGCAAAAGTGAACATTCGCTGAAAATAGGACTGGTGGGGTAACCTGCGCAATGTGTTTTTTACTAGCAATGTGCAGGGACGTGCGTACGTAATGCATTGTGGCTACCGAGGGAGCCATTTGACTTAAGAACTCATATGGGCTTATCTCGAGGGGTGGGGGCATAGAAAGATTGGTCGACCCACCTGCGGAAACAGCAGCGGCGTGTGCCGCCGTATTGCTCCTGGGCACACCCGCATGCCCCTGTGTCCAGATAATTTCTATCGACCTGTCAACTTTTTTATGCCTACGAATGATGCTTTGAATAGCAGCAGCTGTAGCATCCTCCGACGCTGGGCAAAGTATTTCCGAGTAGGCAGCATGTGAGTCGGTAAAGACGCGAAGGGATTTCTATATAGTTTATGGGAGGCTTGCAGTTGCTCCTCGTATGGCAAGTAGTTCGGCATGCATAGGAGTACCGTTCGGAGATGGCACCTGGAAGACCCAGTGTATTTGGTAGGTCTGCGCACAGATCCATGCTATACAAGCTTGGCCATCGGAGATAGCAGCGTCCGTGTATATGTCGATGGTGTGTGAGCTTGCTTCCTTAAGTTGTCGCGTGGCAAGAAACTGGTGGGCAGTATCATTGTGACGAGATATGGGATGATGGAACAGTCGAGAGGCTATCGGAGTTTCCCATGGGGGCAAGGACTGATTAAGAATAGGGTGCATCATCATGTCGCTGACAATCCCAGGCCAGGAAGGCTGACGACCTTGCGGCGCGTTTTTGAGGCGGATGTGGTATCGAGTGTGGGCTTCACGGATGACGTCTCGCAGAGGGGGCAAGCCTCCTGCGCTTTCAAGGACGGATATTTTAGTGTGTTTAGGGAGCCCGGTGATGGTACGGAGAGTAGCCGGATGAAGCGTTCCAAATATTGGATGTCAGTTGAAGAGAACGTGTATATGAGTGTGCTGTACAAAATCTTTCCAATGGCTGCAGCTCTTGTGAGAGTGCGACGCGTGCACCGCTGTATTTGTTGGACAGAAGACGTATGATATGTAACGTGGCTGGCCATGCCTGCCGCAGTCCACGTACCCACTTTTGTGAGCTGTTGCAGCTGGCTATTGGTAAAGCCGGAACTTTGTCTGTTTTATTGTATAGTGTGCAATCTAATATGAAGTGAGATGTACATTTTCAGGTTGGTGCGATTCTTGCCGTCTATGCTTATAAGTTCTGTCTCATGTGGAGCCAGCTGTAGATCTACTTCCTTAAGAGTGGACTCTAAACTAAGGAGGGCTGCCTGCAACTAATGGCTGAGGTGTTGCACAATTAAGAAGAAGGACACAGGCAAGATTCTCGGCCATGTCAGCCCCTATTGCTGTGGGGGAAAATGCAAAAAACGTTCTCATACTCCTGCACGTTAAGGAACTTTAGGTTGTGAAAATTACATATTCGTCCCCGCTCATTATGGGGTACCTCGTAATTGCGACTTGGTTTTGACAAGCAATACCACAGGTATTTATTAAATTTAATAATACCAGTGGTGGGAAACCTGTGCCAATCTGCACCAACTAAAAATTACTGTGCCGCACTGCTCCAATAGGCTTTTTTGTCTAATATGTGCCATCGCTGCGCCACAAGGTGGTTTCGGAATCGAAATGTTGACAGCAGGCATCGTGAGCGGATATTATGTGATGGTCACACTTGCGCTGCTACATTTGCGTGACTGCATTTGTGTACACTTGTATTGCTGCAAAAGCATGGAATTAGCTGATCAATTATTCCGACTTACATGCAAATGGGTCTGTGCCTTTTCTGGTAACCATTTGCAAAGAATGAAGGTGATGTGGCCACTATCTAAAAGCACGCCAGTATGATTTATCGCCAACAAAAAGCCTACATGTGTGGCGTAGAGCCGCTTTTAACCTACGGTGCGCTTTTAATAGGCGGCGACTACCTGAGAGCGCTGAGGCATCGATTGCTGCCACCTCAGTCGTTGTGCGGGACGGTGTTCAGCGTGCACCGCTTTGCAGAAGCGAAAGCAGCTCGCTGTTGCGGAGTGGAGAGTTGTGGATTGTGGCCACTATCCACTGAGACAGCAAATGTGGCGCAAATGGCAACAGCCCTAATGCATCTCCATCCACTACCAAGACCGCTAGAACATCGCTTGCAGAAAGCTCGCATCATTGCGTCAATGCAGTAAGCTTCTCGCCGTTTCTATGCACGGTCTGAAGCAAAGTGGGTGCAAACGGCTCGGCACGGTGTGCACGCTAAGTAGGCGAAGCGTTCCACGCAACTTGTCAGTAGAGGATTGGCTCCGTGCGACCGTACCATGTCTCAGAAGAGCTATGTCAGTTTTCACTTAGTAGCAGATAGCGGTACACATTTATTGCAGACAGGTGCTTATATCCGTTTCGTTGCTATGTCAGTCACTCCGTCGGCTGTCCCGGACTTCGCAGCAGTTTTGCAATGCTCTTTAATGTCGCCACCGCATGCCTTGGGACGGTCGTGCGAGAATCTCAATAATTTCTGAAAATTAGCAAAAAGAAAGAAATGGCTTCGTGGGGGGCACTTTAGGCAGTGCTTTCTGTGGCATTGTATTCCTTTTTTAACGGTGATGGCGGATGTAGAGAAATGCAAATTGATACTTAGTCGTACGTGTGCGCATGGGAGGGGGGGGACACGGGGTTAAGGAGTGGCAAAAAGCTAGCTTTATACATCGACATTATAGGGAGGGGGCGATAGTAGAGATGCAAAATTTCTGGAAATTTTGAGCAGTCGAGAAAAAAAAAACGTTTTTCTTTTCGCTTTTTTTCCTAATATTTTGGGAAAAAAATTAAAAAGAACAATCTTTTTTAGCATGTCACAATTGTTTATTGCCATATGGTAATACTTTATTGCCCAGTGTCAAAAGCAGTAACTTTCATTATGTAAATAACAGAAATAAAATGCTCTCTTTCTTTCAAAAAACTAATGCGGCATTTAACAGATCAAAGGCAGCCAGAAGCAACACCGTGAACTCATTTGGCTCTCTTTGAATGGGTGCGGCTTCCTAAAGTTGTTACGGCAGTTAGAACAAAAAACCCATAAATGTCTATTTCTTCGTGACTTCGACTATGGAAACATTGATCAAGATGAATAAAAACATGAAGTTCAAACTCATATTCAGAGCTAGTATCACTGGCTTCGTCTGTAGCTTTCTTCATCGTGTTAAGACGTCGCATTGGTAAAAGTGTAGCTGCTGTTGCAGTGCTTACAGACAGAGAGTCCCTGTTTCCTGCCACCAATCTCCTCGACCGTGAAGTGCATCCGCACGTCATGAATTAGTCCAACCATTGCAGAATCTGCTTGCACACTGCTTTACAAGCAGACTTCTGCCGCAGGTCACAGAAGTGTACGAGGGAAAGTAAAAACTGAACAATAATGGGTACAAAAACACCAGGAACCACCCCCACCATCACCACACCAAACCGCACCCGAACGACGAAGCTATACTATGTAGTATAGAGTCAAGCTAAGCTGATGCTGGAGGAGCTGACTTAATCTGATGCCGATGCAAGTGGTCAGCCGTCATTTGGTGTTTTCGTATCATGTGCGATTTTTTGGTTTCACGTTCAGCGCTGTGTTGCCTAACCCTTATTTCTGTACGTTTTACCCCACAGAAAATTCAGCCAATTTCTCCTACTGCGCTCATTAAAACCAAAAAGAACCTATTTTTTTCCCAAAGTTATCCCGTTTTTTTTTTTCGCACTTCGTATCTCTAGGCGAGAGGGAGGCGCAGATGCAGTCAGCCCCCTACATCCCCCCTTCCCGTTGAAGACGAACTCTGTGCACGCTTTCGTACTTGGCTGTTAATGCATGCTGCGTTTAGTGCGTAGTTAGCCGCACTTCCGGCAGGTTGTAGCCATGTGTGTTTTAATGCGGTTTTTACTGTAACGAGCTTTGAATGTGTCTTTGCATGTGTTTGTGTGTGTGTGTGTGCATGTGCACACTGCTAGCTTGTTGGTTCAATATTGTTCACCATCAAATGGCACCGCTTCTGTACATAATCCTACTTTTGTTTATCTTTTTGTGCTTATTTTGTGGGCTTGCTGCTTCAGTATATATGATTATGTAAACTGAGGGAATATTTATGCATTTATTTATTACATAGAAAACACAGACAGAGGAAATAGGGAGGGAACCGGCTGAAAAGTGCCACCTATAGGGGCACAAAGACTGCCTGCTCTTTCGGGAAGGGGAGGCATAGAGGAAATAAGGGAAGAAAGAAGGAGAGAGAAGAGGAAAGTTAAAAAAATATATACCAAATTAAAGCTAAATTTTCTTTCTTTGTGTGTGTCATGGAAAACCTGCGCATGGTCCAAACTTAGAGGTAGCTGCTACAAAAGCAGATTTTACTAATGGCTGCTTAATAAATGCTGGACGGCATTGCCACCACTGTGGTATTCACTGTAATGTCTTGCCTTGCAGCATGCAGCCAGTGCACCGAAGGGAGCAAATGTAGTAAAGAAGGGCAGACCACCGTCTAAGGAAGCGGTGACAAAGAAGAGCACTGTGGATGTGTCCAAGACAACTTGCAAGCCCAAAGTGAAGGCGCTCTCTGTTCCTGCGATACCAACTTCACCGCCTGAGTCGACACAAAGCACCCGCAGCCGTCGGCCGATCCGGCTTCCTGCTCGCTTCCAAGACTCTGCTTTGTACTTCTCCCCCAACGGAGACCTGTTTGACGTTCCATTGTCGCCCACGTCAGCTCGACAGCGGGGACGCATGAATTGTTGCTGGGTAGGTGTTTGCTCAGGGATTTCTTTGGACGGGGTTCAGAAGCCATGGTGTTCCAAGAAATGTGCCCCAGGGAACTGTGATACTTGCTTGCTACAATGGGCATTACATTTTCTGTGGCAGCAGACATCTTATGATGACTAGGGCTTTATAGCAGCAGTTATGAAAATTGAAATAGTGAAACGGCTACTAAACAGGCTTGGATAGGTTTGTTTGTTTTACTCCTCCCAGATACACTTGCTAATTTGTTCAGTAGGCTGTGGGAATCACATGTTAGAGACTTATAACCTCACTGTGTATAAGGCTGACACTCCAATAAAAGAAAAAAAAAATCCCGTGCCCCCTCTCCTGTGCCTGTCAGCCCTTTTTGCCCGCACAGCGACTACTGACATTGCCAGTGGGTCATTACACTTTGAAACAGTGCCTTAGCCCTTTGGTGATACAGTTTTTCCGCAAAGTCCCCGTTTTCATTTTCTTGTGCTGCCTTCTGCCATCTTAATGAGAACAGACACAAATAGAACTAACTTAACTTTCTTGTCTGTTAGTTGTCATTAATGTTGTGCTTAAAACAAAAAAAAATCATCCCTTCAAATTTTTTGTTCTTTTCTTCTGTTATATTGATAGACCCATACTGGCAGAAGCGGTGTCATGTCTCACGCCTTGACCACAAGGAGAAGGGCACATGCGTCGTGCCATATTTGTTTACGTCGCCAGTGCTTGCACCCTTGCACCGCGCTTCTTCCCCACACTGCCCTGACACGAGTGACATGTAGAAGAAGACTTGCTCCATCGTTGGTTGCGTGCCGATGACATAATCGCTCTTGTGTCATGTTATGTTGCCAAAGGTGGCTTGATTACAACAAAAAGCTACTCCTAGCCCTCCTCACCGCCGAGGAGGGCGGGAAGGTCAAGCGAGAAATCTTAACTACCCGAAGCAGGTTGTTAGGAGATATAGCTTCCTTACTCAGGTTAGGAGATATAGCTTCCTTATCGCAGCACTGGTTTGTAAGATTCTTGCAGTGGAATATTCACATCATACAAGTGAGCAGTTATCTTTTTATCACAAGTTTTGGATGTAGAGGCTGCTTACTTGCCCTTTAACTTTTCATTTACGGTTGACAGCAGGTTGGCCCAAGTGGTAAAGGTGAAGTCCTTTGAGTGAAGAACCAATTGCCACTTTGAGATTTCCAAAAAAGTGGCAGTTGGTAATTTTTGTAGAATGATGAAAGCTGAAGTTTTACTGCTGAAAGCAACAGGAAAGCACCACAGAGCACAACTGCCGCACTGTTTAAGATGCCCAGAATCGGTACACGTCATCAATAAAAACCGTATTTTAGGCAAATGCTTATTGTTCATTGCGTTCCTATCGCACCAGTTCGATATATGAGCATGAATGACGGGCTAAAAAAGTCTTTTAGAGAATTTTCATAGGGTCCATAAATGCTTATGTTTGGTGTTAGTGCCTAAACACCTATACATGCCTATTTTCAAAATTGGCTCTTATATGAATCAAGTCCTTTAGCTGATGCACCAGATGGGATATGCCACTGTGCTGACATGGTTTAAGTGGTTGGTAAATGCAGCAGGGAAACAGCGAATGAAGATCTTAACGAAGAAAAATGTGATATGCACATAGATTTTGTTTCGTTGGTCATTTACTTCTTGAAGAGGCCCTCCAACACTATTTCAGCCCCCATTTTTTACTTTCAGGTTATGTACGCTAATAGATGGAAAAATCAATGCCGCATAAACGGTAGAGATGGGGGCACACAGTGTAAAGTTATTCAGCCTAGGAAGTTCATAATACAAGAAATAAAATGCAAACCCTCAACCTGACTTTCATGGGCCACATGACCACATTCCACTCGCCACTTACGATGCCAAGCGCCGCTAATGAAATGAGCTGCAAATTACTGCCAAAGAAAAGCTTGCACATCATTGTTGCCTGTTGCATCCGCTGTGGCAACAACGCCGTGGCGTCAGTAACAAACAATGTGGCACTGCACACACCTCACCTTGAGAGAAAGAGTGAGACCAATAACGGTGCGTTGAGGGGACAGAATTTCACCCTTTGAATGTCGTCACCAGCAGGAGCACATGTTATGAGGTTGCTGAGGAAGGTACTTAGGAAAAAAGAAAAACCTTCGGGTAATGACTAGTGCGGTGTGTGCGTTTTTATGCTCGAAGGTCACCGTGCTTTCAAGTCTCTCTTCCCTCTCTGTGTTCTTTAATGACACTATCTGTTGCATCCAGTAGGAAAAGTACAGCAAACAAAGATTCCTCGAACTCAAAGGGGGGGATACTGCATGTGCAATGCTTGGCAGCTCATAAATGTACACAAGCAAGAGAAGCGTATGAACATCCGACCTACACAAGCAGGAAGCCAGACGATCGATTGCAGCCAGTGCTGCTATAGTGTTTTGCAGTCTACTGGGTCCTATATAGCTTTACATGAATAAAACTGAAGAAAATTGTAATTGGTGGGTGCCATTGACTTAGCATATGAGTTTTCATAAAATTTCATCGAGCCAATGCCACGACAATACGGAAAGTACATTTTGAAGTTTCTTACGTCACACGCAAAGATCTTGGCACGAAATTTCAAAATGAAACTCCAACATTGATACTTTTTGCTAATAATAGACTTATGATAGTGGAACATGTGACATTAGAGTTCTGAGAGTGCATTTTGTAAATCTAAACCAAGTCATTGTTCCTCTTTAGTGTCCCTTTAATTGTTTGCCGACAAAAGATTGCCTCTGGTCTTTTAGCAGTCTGGCTATGTGATCCTGTGCTGATTTTTCAGTCACGCCAAAAAGAGAGACCCAGGAGTGTGTTTTTTCGACAGTGGACACTTGACTCATCATGCTTGAGCGTAGAAGGATAGCGTATTTTATGAACCATGTAGGACAAAAGGCAAATTGCACGGCTATGCTCAACTGTTCGCACCTTTGTGCAGTCATAAACAAGAACATTTTTTTGCATTCCTGTCGTAGATGGTCGCGCGAATATCATTGTTTTCAAATTGGTTACATTTATGTGAAAATGTATTATGCCCGCATTCACGACGACGGAGGATTATAATGCATATTGCCTGCCTATTTTTGGTGCCTAAAAGACTTTTTTTTTTTTTAAGCCTAGAAACCTGGATCTAGCCATTGAACATGGATTTATTTCACATGTGGGGAGGCTGGGCTAGCCGTGGCAATAAGCGTGGTGCACGTAGGTTAATGAAGGCAGAGTACTGATACCACTGCTGTTGTCATCGGAAACAGTGACATAATTTGGGCATCCCTGGAAGATGTGAAAGTTACGCTCTTCAGCATTTGCCAGCGCACTGCTACCAGCTGTGTAAAATTATGTGGGTGTCCTGCAATTCACTTGAACTCACTTGAATTCACTTGAATCACTTGAATCAGACCACTTGAATCAGACCAATTCACTTGAATCAGACCAATGCATAGCGATGACAGGAATTTGTGATGCCATTCCAAGGCTTGGTCGATTTATAGGACATCTGCACATGTGATGTTGCAAAGTGAAGTGTGGCTACTGTGAGCAGAGGTTCCGTAAATCAGGTTATTACATTACTTCCATGAAATTTTAGACTGAAACTCCTTTTCTCTTTCTCTCTCTCTTTTTTGTGTCCGGTATAATGGCTGTGTTGTGCATTGATTGGATTAAAAGTAAGATCAATATCTATTTGATTAACATTGGTATGCACCACTATGGGCAACTCCCATGGTTTCGGTGACAGTCCATCGCAACAGAAAGGGCTCAATAACTTCTCAGTACCACAGTGTGTTGTACCAGCGCCTCCTCTATTTTTTCAATGCCAGCCAGTTGTGCCCGATGCTGCCGGTAACCACCCTCTCCTCTGCTCATGTTCAACTGCTCATGTTCATGATGTTGGCGGTCACGCTGGCTGTGTAAAAGATACGATGTTTTGAGATAGCTTGTCGTTCGTGGCTCAGAGTGGGCAATCAATGAGGAAGCGTCACTGCAACGCTACTGCCTACTCTGGCTTTAAGAGCGGTGTGAAATGGCAGCAGCATTGCTTCAAGCCACAAAGAAAAAGAATGAAGGAACAAATCTGACAGACGTGTGATATTGTAGTGGGAACCAAGTCTGCCGCATCCACAACACACGAAAGCGCACAAACACACGTGTGACGTAAGCAATACTACCCGCCATGCAGCGTCGCATCACGACCACTCTTTGAACTAAAACAGACGCGCACGTTTGCACTGGCATTGAAAGAAATAAAGAAAGCGTTGGTTGTACCTTTCTGCTTTACGTGTGATCTGCAGAAGCTGTAAACAAGACTACGCCTGGACAGCATAAAGTTGTGGTTGGTGGACAAAATTATTATTATTATTTTTTACTTTAAGGAATTGGTCCTTTTAGTACTGCCATGTTATTAGAACAGTCTTGTGTCACTTTTTTCTGTAAAATAAATAATCTTTTAGTAGCCGTAGTACCTGGAATATAAGGTTGAATTTCAATTTGGTAAAGTTTCGACTAAACCAAGTGCTTTGTTCTGTCGAGGAGTTGAATCTCGATTATAAGGCCATTTGCTTTTGCATCACGTACTGTGCAGAATCGATGCTGTTTGTGAATCATTTTTACTTGCTGCTTTGAAACTTGAACATTGTTGTTGAGTACTATATGCTTGTTAAATAGCCTATGATTTAGTAGTGAATCCTTCAGTGACCCGCATTTTTACTTTGACTGGATTCACATAGGATGTTGAATTTATCACTACCTTTTGTCTGCTCTGATTCCACATCATAGCTTCATTTTGTTGTGCTGATAATCCAGTAAAACCATGGTCCCCTTGTTTTTTTTAGTTTATTTTGACTAGGTAAATCAACTGGGACTGCCATAAAGAAAACTGTGAGACAAGCTTGCGTTCATTCAGCAGCTTGCCTATCCAATAGATAAGAAATACATATGGTGATTTCTTTCAAAACTTTTTTTGATAAGGTCACTGTGTAAAAAAGCTGCATTTTGTTCAAAGATGCAGGCCGGTCGAATGCAATCTTGTGGCATATTTTTAGTGAAAGTAAAGCACTGATGTATGCAAAAGGTTGCTAGAATACAGGTGGAGGTAATTGTAGTTCACTGCGCGGCCTAGTTGGCAACACTGCCAGTAATATTGATGTGTTGCACTAGAAATGTGGGTCTACAGGTGCTGTTGCTGGCAGGGTTGTGCTGAAGCTGTTTTCATAACTTGGCGCAGTAGCTCGAAGGTTGCCCAGCCACAACCACCCCTCCCTCCGCCAGCCCCAGCAGCACCCGTCCAGTCTGATACAGTGCTGTTGTCTTCATCTTCATCTTCGTGTGCTTCATCACCATGTTCATCACGATTGTCATCACGCTCATCATCTCCTTGTGGCAGCTGGTGTGAGGTTGCCACAGCTTCGCAGGCCTCCAGCAAAATGAATGATGAAGGCACAAAGGTGAGAGCACATTGCTGGCTTTAAGTTTATACACTCTTAATAGTGACAGATGCCCATAATGGATAATGAACTGGTTAGCTTGCATGTGCGACTGTTTTATAATATCAATACTACTAAATATTGCTGATTACAGCAAGCTAAAGATGTATAGTAAATCCCTGCCCACACTGTTAGAAGTGATAACAACCTAATGGTAACAATTTGCTAAATTTACCTGTTCCCATGTGAATAAAGTAGTATGCAGTATACAACGAATCAAGTTAATCATTTCAGAATGAATGAAACTTCAGACTCAGGCAAGCACAGAAAGCTTTGGAAAGTTACTGGAAGATCTTGAAAGCTCCTCACCAAAGACAAATTTAAACCTACCAGCAATGCCCTATAAAAACTTTGTGGTGTAGTCAACAATGCCATGTGTGTTTGTGTCATGCACACGTGTGTGCGTGCGTGTGAGTGCATTGCAGTGTGCGTGTTTTGATCCTTGTATTTCAGCTAATGTTTGTGCCCTCTCTGATTTGATGCTGAAAACGGGTGCCTTGCTTTGTGCAGACATTCTCTATCAATGGTAGCCGGACTCTGAAGCATCTGGCACGCTTAAAGACAGATGTCTTCATCAACTTACATTCCATCAATGACTCGCAGGCTTCCTCAACTCCTGAAGGCTCTGTTGATAACATTGATGATTTTTCAGGTGAGTAGCCTTTATAGTTGGGCAAGTTGGTGTGGGTTTATAGTCAAAAATGGTGCAAGAACACGAGACACAAACGAAGAATACGCAATTGTTTTTTTTTTTCTCAATAGTTTTCGGTTACTGTGGTTGTGATTGAGTTTGATGCCTTGTCTGTTCTCCTGAAATGCGCAGTGAGTGAAATACTTCTGCGCATGACCTACAAGAGTGTTTGCCGCATTTACTTGAATCTAGGCTGACCCCGATTCTAAGCTGACCCCCAAAAGTCTGAAGCTCGGCAAAAAAAAATTTCCTCGAATGTATGCTGAAAAGAAAACAGCAATGACAGCTTTCACAAAGAGAAAAAATTTATTGAAAATGAAGATGAAAAAAATTAATTAGTTCACGATGAAATAAAACAACTCTAGAAACATACAGCCGCTACTCCTGTTGCGTGTGTTTCATGATCTTAGTTTGTTTCATGATCTTAGTTTTTTTCACGCTGCTTCTAGTTTTTTTTTTTTTTTTTCATCATAAAGATGGCGTGCTCATTCACAGTCGTCGTCGCTGCTTCCCTTGTAGATGACTTCTTTGTCACTGTCTTCATGCAGTGAGCAATCCTTGGTGCCATAAAGCGCACTGAATATGCCGCACTTCTTGAAAGCGTGCACAATCAATGTTCCCAGGTTGTTGTTCCACGCTGCAGCCTTTCCAGCTACGCACATTTTTTTCGTCTATTCCAAAGTCCCACCCGGCTTGAATGTTGTACGTCAACTCCGCGACTAAGACAACTTTCTTTTTCTAAGCGCCACTATAATAACACTGCTTGTTTGGTGCCAATGAGCTACACCACACACAGACCACTGGAAGCGCGACTCGAAATGACAAATGGCTCGCCTCAACTAGAGTACCTCAACTTTCACCACAAAGATCAAAATGGTGGGCTCAAGTGTGTATTTAAGCCAGTTGTTGGCTTGGCTACTAATGGCTGTAATACTATCCAGGTGGCGCTAGTTATTCACCAGTTTTCTCGCTTAAAAATAGCGTGTTTTTCAAAATCCTCGAATCTAAGCTGACTTTAGTTTGATGCAAAAACATTTGAAATATAACTTCCCGATATAAAATTCGAATAAATATAGTACTATGCTTAGTACTATACAACTTAGTTGTGAGTTGGCCCTCTTACTGTGTCTTCTTCATTTTTTGCCACATAGTTCAATTAATGGTGCACCAACTGGCCCAACATAGCATATTGTTAATACACATGTTCGCTGGAATAGATCCTACAGACTAGTTCAGTAGCAAAATTTTGTGTCATTACAAGGCTTGTGCTATAGCGAATTTCAGGTGCAAAGCAAATTTGAAGCAATTAGTAATTCTGGTAAATTAACTTTTAATCGAATTTAAGTAGTAGATATGACGTATTTAAGAATAAATGGGCATAATTGTCATGACCCAACCAACCTGCACAGTACTTTTCAAAGAATAAATAAGGCCTGTGCAAATGCCATTCCGTTTGGTTCAAAGGAAGTGGAAACAACATTGAATAGTAGCAAGATTTGACTTGCTGCAGAACGCAAGTGATAACCTGTAAATTATGTTACTTCTTAATGTTTACAGCGTATAGCAGGTATAACAGGCTTTTAAACTTAGAAAATTATCAATCAATGCGAAGGTAATATGCTGTTTAACTTTGAAGTAGGGCTTCGTGGCAGTGCGGATTTCTTCTACATGTTTTCATGGCTTAGCATCTCTTTACTGCAGTGAAGCTATCTTTGCAATGCTGAGTGATATACAATTAATTGATGCCTTCACAGCTTGTCACCACTCTACTGCAGTGAAATCACCTTTGCAGGGGTAACATGCGAATTAATTCGTTTGATTTGATTACTTCATAATTTCAACAATTTAAATTTGAATCAAAGCAAAATTGAGTACATTAATATTCGTTTGAATATTCGCACAAGCCTAGCAATTATCCCTTAAAGGGCCAAACCCACAGCTTGCAGCCCAAAATATAGAAAAGAGGTGCAATCATACCATTTTCATGCATTATTACATGGTGAGGGGTGAAATTAGTTTTCACGACCAGCTTCTTTGGATAGTATTTGATGGTGCTGTAATATTTAAAACTAGTTGATGAGTGCTTTAAAATAACGGGAACATCATGTAAGATTAACCATAGCGTAAGGTCGAAATTTTTGAAGCCCTCCAATACGGCACGGCGTCTCTCATAATCATATGGTGGTTTTGGGACGTTAAACCCCACATATCAATCAATCATATTATTAGTGACAGCAAAAGTAAAGTCAAATGTCCAAGTGCAAGATGTACGTGAATTAATGAATGAACTGATCCATTCATTCATCATTTATTCATTGGGAAAAGGATAGTACACCTTTATGGTGATAAAAAGTTGCACTGATTTCTTACTCTTAGGCAAAAAAAAAATGCTGAATGCCTCTTCAATATCATCATAGAAGAGGTGGCCCTTTAAATTATTGAAATTGTTAAGGTTGATCCTATGGAGAGACATACATATCTGCCAACTCTTCCCATTTTCTCGTAAAATGTACGAATTTCGATCGCACTTACGATTTTACGAATGTGCCGGAAGTTTTACGAAACATATTTCATTTTTGGTATAAAAAATGAAATATGAAAAACAAAATGAAAAACAAAAACGCCGTTGTGCTATATTCCGCCACCAGGAGAGAACAATACGTATTGGTGTTATCATCATCATCACATATCTGCCAAGTCTCCTGCATTGTCCGGGACACTCTTGGATTTCGACCGTTTCTTCCGTTTGTACGGTTGCCATGAAAATCTCCTGGAAATCTAAATTTGTGTACGAGATCAGACCGCATTGACAAAAATGCAAGTCAGTCCGTCCCAGGCTTTTTGCAAGCCCACCGCATTTTATTATAAACGAATTCGAGATGCATTCATCTAAACGCACAGTCTCAGTGATCTGAAACCGCAGCAGATACGAATTCATCAAAATTCCCCAGCGAAATTTATGTGTCCATTAGGCCAAATTTCGAATGTTCCGAACACTTTTCCTAATCGCGGCATGTTATATGAACTTCAGTACCGAAGCCGTCGAACTAAGGCCGATAGAGAGCAGTGCTCCAAGCACCGGCACCATGTTTGCTTATTCGCTTGCCATTGAGATTGAGTCAGCTGGGAAAAAAATGTTCTTGTTTGAAACATTGCTGGTAACACACAGAAGTAACATTGTGAAGCCCACTCAATCCCACGGTAACCGACTGCTACCAACCATATGACAAGCTAAGTCAAGTTGCTAAGCTGGATGGCCTTCATTGTAGTTAGTCATGTGTCGTCTATGCATTTGGCGTTTGCTCTTGTGCATAAAATAGCTGCGCAAGCCCGGCAACTTCCTTCACTTCCATATTGAGGTTGCGTCACTCAGCCCAGACAGTGTGAGCTCCACGTGTTGTGCGTCTGTTGACAAAGGGGATGACGAACACTCTCTCATGCGGCTATTGGAGTGTGGCCCATCATTTTTCAAGATGACAGGAAACACATTTTGTGATTGCGTTGACCGCACTGGCGCCATTTTTCATTGCAGACTCTGATGAGGAGGAGTTGTCTGTGGGCGATGAGTCGTGCACCAAGGACAGTGAGGGAAACCCATTGAAGAAGAAGGCATGCAGGGAACGAATTAGACGCCAGCAGATGCATAACCTGTTAATGGAGCTTCAGAATGTGGTCTACAGAACGCCCACCACCAAGCCTGTCTCTAAGGTGGCCGTCTTGTCGCAGGTGAGATAAAAGCATGGGCTGTTGTACTTATGTGGAGTCTGTAATCTGTGGCAATGCATCAGAAGTGTGCCTCGGGTAAAGCCATATTCACATTTACCCGTTAAATGCCTTATCTGACACTTTTTGCACCCGACTTGTTACTTTTGTCTGCCTTTTTTTGTATTTTGATGTGTGTTACACTGTCAAAAAAAACTTGCTTTTCTTTGAAGCTATGGCAGTTTCTGGTTAACTCTTTAATTTGAAAAATATGAATGGATGAATAAATAGTTTTTGTGTGCTATCAATCAAACGTGCATCAAAAGAAGTTTCAGAAACTTTGAAAGATACATGAGTAAAATAAACAACATCAACAATTTCGTTGGTTGATCTGCCAGAATAGGGGGCAGAAAGCCGGTCGACTGACACTGTTCATCAAGCTTTACATTTGGTGAAAACTGCTCAAAACACTTCTTTCCATTTTTTAAGCACACTGCTTGGTAGCTGACGTCCTCGACCATGTAACCCTTGAAGTAATTACCGGGAAACTAATTAAGCATAAATTTAACGTGGAGGGACTAAATCAAAAGTTCGTGCTGTATGCCTGACATTTTTTAGGTCCACAATATTGTTGCAAGTTCAAGAAACAACAGTTTCTACTTCAACAAAGCAACAAAAGGGGCTTTTTGTGCAGTTTAGATTTGTGTTCACTGTGTTGAGTTGGGAAGCACACAAAACACACGGCAGAGACCTGTCTGCCTGCTGTCTTTATTCTGGAACATATGGAAGAAGGAACTGATGCACAAATACAGCATACTGTGTTTCTGGTGTATAAATTTCACATTTGGGGTGTATGTAGTCCCTACTTATGCAACTTTTACGGGGGGAAATATGGCACACTATGTCTATGAGGTGCACCACATTGCAACCTGGTCAGCATCATGTCATTCATGTTTTTTGGCACCTGCACAAACAGATGTAATCCAGCGAGAAAGGTTCAATGTGTTCAAAGTCTTTTTTCTTCGCTCTCTCTTTCTCTCGAAATGATGGTTGCAGTATTATTGGTTGAGCTGATTGATGTTGGATCATTGCCTTTTTTGTGTGTGTTTTTGTCTCTGAAGCACGAAAATTCAATGAAGAGGCAGAAACAAAGAGGCGCTGTCTTTTTGTTTCTGTCTCACTCTGGCTGGGAGGTTTTTTAAATGGTAAGTAAAAATGATGCCTTCCCTTAATAATTTCTTAAAATTGTCCACGTTACAGCACGCTTGTGTACGAGCTGTCTTGTTTGCCCCTTCCCCAAACTCGGGGACCATTTACAGGTGTTGCGATGTGCACAGACAGAAGCGTTCCATTTCCGGCTTGATTAATGAGCCCAAAATCTTTCCAGCCGGAAAGACTTTACACTTAAATAATTCAGCTCGAAGCGAATGCATATCCAGCTGGAACTTTATCATCAGTTACTGGCTAAGCTTTGCCCATATTACGGCTGGATATTCATCGACTTAAAGCCGAACTGTAAAACTAAATCTTTCCAGCTGGAAAGGTTCAATAGTCCAGCTGGAAATGTAACTTTTTTTCGTCTTGGCTTGCATTGTGGGTCACAAATCTGAATTGTGGCCACCCTGTTTGGAAATTACAGGCTAACCAGTATCTCCGCTGCCTGGAAGTTTTATCGTCCCACCTGCTTAAGGAGAAGCGTTGGCTGAAGCGACGTCAGGCTGCCCTTAAGCTCTGCTTGCAGGCCAGCTGCCAGGGCACGCAGGTACCACGACTGCCCCAGGCCGAGCCCAAGCCCCCACCGGTGCCTGCTTCTGTTTTGGAAGTGTGCGACCTGAGTGATTGCACTGTGCCTCCTGTCCGGGAAGCTAGTGATGAACTGCTCAATGGCAGCAGCGACACAAATTCACCTTCTGCACTGCCAATAGGGAAAAGCAAGAGGAATGGAGGTAAGTACAAGTGATTCTTGCATTCTGTAGTGGCTGGAGAATTCCACTGCTGAGCATGAAGTTGTGCAGTTGACTGGCTCATTTCACCGTAAACCCTTTCACTGCATCATAATAAGAAGGGCTACCTTTAGTTCATTATTTAAAGAAATACTGACTTGAATTTAAGAAATTTTTATATTGTCGCCCTTAATAAATGTACTAGTGCCAGGAGCACTAAAAAGTGTATTGTGGTTGTTCAAAACAAACGGGTGCAACAGCTGCTCCAATTGCGTTGATTTGATACAAATCCCCATTTTTGTGTCGAGCTGCGCCAAAACCATGAAGTGTGCTGAAATTGCACTCCACTGCGCCGAAATGGCCATCCTGCCTCAAATTGGCATCATCAGTCAGTTCAAGCGTGCAGACCATAACCCTAAACCACGGTGTGCCCTGTACCTTATTAGATCAAGGCACTCGCGAGGCGCAGGTCGACCAGGTCCACTGACCGCAACGGATACTAATCGGTGGGATGATGCAACTTCAAGGTAAAAATGCATTGCTGTAGCAAGCAACACTTCGCCGGAAACATGAATTTTTTTGTCAGCAAACGCGGCGACAGCATTTAGAAAGTAAAGCTGGAAGTGTGTGCCGCCTTTTCCGCACGCGAACAAACTTGACATGCTGCAAACGCTGGCATTGCTGGCGACCACGTTGGTTGCCATGGACACGGTGCATAAAACATTTTTCTGTCTGTAAGTTGCGTCGTCCCCGTGATACATAACCGGTGTCATCGCTGGGCCAACGGCCGTGCGCCGTTGTTACTTTATCCAGTTGGACGCACCTTGCAAGTGAGCTGAGAAGTTGTGCCCTGAAGTTGACCCCATCGTTTATGTAGCAGTTCGAAAAATTTGCCGCAGCACATTGGTGTCTTGCGGGAAAGCGTATTCGGATTTAAAAGGGGCTGTTAGCACCATTTGCAGGACACGGCACTTTTTTTTTTTTCAATTACTCATGCTTGTATACGCCACATAATTGTGAGTACTAGTATGATCGCTGACGTCTAAAAAGGTTACTGGCTTGCTGGCAATCATTTGAAGCACTTTGACATTTCAGCAGCCTAAAAAAAAAAAAAAAATCTGTGCGCCTCCTACTCCTCAGTTTGACAAATCTTCTGAATTGCAGGGTTGCCAGCTTGGCAGAACCACATTTGAATTTGCAGAGTCTAAGGATTTGACAAGTGTGGCAAATGCTAATGTGGATTTGATAATTTCTTGCACGGTGGAGTGGTTGAATATGCTACTATTATTGAAATAGCAGTGCTCATGTTTGCTCTGCGCAGTTCAGGTGATCTTGAAAGGTTTGTACATATTTGCTTTTCTTACTGATCTTACTGATGATTTGATCTTTCATGATAAAATTTTTTTTTTTCCCATAACCTGCTTCAAATTTGGATTTTAGTGCTTTCAAAAGTAACATTTTGCTGCTCCGAAAATTGTTCCAAATTATATTTCAGCTGTTGCACCCCAGAACAAATCTTGTATATATTTAACACCTCTTCCTTAATATATAACTTTGGGTTCTGATTTCAAGGGCATATCATCACAGTGACATGTAAACACAATAGGACTTGTGTCCAAGTCACATGGGAACAGCAACTGTCAATGTTTTCGCAGCACTCTTTAGTTCGCTGTCGGTTGTACGTATCCGCTGTAGGGGTGTCATGGTTGCGGTGCTCGGCTGCTTACCTGAAGGTCAGGTGTTCGATCCCGGCTGTAGTGGTCGCTTTTCGATGGAGTGCTAGAGGCCTTCGTACTGTGCAGCATCAGTGCAATTCAAAGAGTGCCCGATGGTCAAAATTTTCCGGAGCCCTCCACTACAGCGTCCTTCGTAATCATATTATGGTATTGGGACGCTAAACCTGAGATATATTATTATTATTGGTAGGGCACAAGGGTGAACCGACATACAGTGGCACCAGCAGCAATTTTGGCCACATCCAGCATGCGGAACTCAAATCCCAGCTAACTGTGCTGACTCCTCATGATAGTTTTCATTGCGATGGAGTTGTCTTGCATATGCTGGGTGATGAAAACTTTAAAATTGAGCTCTAGTATATTATGTGTGCTTCCTGGCCATGGTGTGAAATCAGAGGGTACACATAATACCAAGGAAATAAAAGTGTCCGTTTTGTGATTCCCCAAAATCGTGTTGGTACAGTCAGCTCCCGTTAATATGAAGCTCACTAGAACCGCAAAAAAACTTCAAAGTAAACGATCATCCAATTAAGTAAAATGCACAAAAACCTGCATTTTTATTGCTTCAAACCTGACAGTTCTCCAAGAAAATAATTTGTCATTTTCTCTTGCCTAACCTGGCTGCGGCTAGCAAATTTTCTAAGCACTACACATGTCGAAGTGCTTGAGCATTGTCTTTTTCAACAAAACTTTAAAAGCGCAGCGCAAGAGTAAGACCTGCACCAACATCGGTAGTCCTCGGTAGCGGTTCATTTTTATGTTGTCATCTGCTAGCTGAACAACCTGCTCCATTTTTCTGTTCGTTAGTGAACTGCAAATAATGACGCTGCTGTTCATGGCAACGAATATTTCAAAACAGACATCACTAAGAACGGCGTCAAAACTACCGTCGTCAAGTTCACACTTGATGAAGTCTGAGAGCGAGGTAGGCTTAACGCCACACTTTTGTGCGATGTCTTGCTTGGTGGTGCCTCCCGGGTCAAGTTCTTTCAATACGTTCGACTTTCGTCGCCAGGTCAAGTGTTCGGTAGGGGCCGCGAGTTGCCATTATCAAATGTCGCCACCGCAGCACTCAAAAGCAGTGCTGTGGAAATACGTGCGGAATCAACCCACAGTGCGTTGGCGGGCTTGTTGGTTTATCATGCCGTGTTTGAGCAGCGCAACGCTAGGCGGACGGAGCGGAACACGCAAACACACAGTGCTGCGTGTGTGCTTGAGCGTTCCTTTCTACCAATGTCCAGTAGCATTGTTCTTACTTCATCCAGACTTTAACCCAGTGCACGACAGAAGCGCTCGGCATATCAAAGCGAAATACCTAGCAGTTAGCCGATGCAATCAATGCGATGCTCGGACGCTCACTAAACAAGATTAATCGTAGCGCTGTGAGCAGTGGTGATGGGGAGAACAGCGCGGTCCGACAGCTATTTTGGCACATGATAAATTCCCAAGTTTATTGTAAAATTATGGTCACCTCGAGGCTCTCGACTGAAAAATCTTCTAATTAACCGATGTTGCGGGATTTAACTTTGAATTCTTGAGCACTTTTTCCTATAGGCGTGCATGCAAAATTGATTGGACCACTTGTTGACTTCTAATTCACCAAAAATTCCAATTAAGCGACTTCAAATTTATCGGGAGTCGACTGTATACTCTTTTAGGAGCTTCAATGTGTATAAAACTGTGTGAGATTACAGTGAAGCCATCTATTGTAACCAACACTTGATTAATTATTCTGATTAAGTAAGCCATTGTTTTCCTTCTCACTTTTTTTGATGCATAGGTTCTAGTGACAGCAAACTTCATCATGGCAAAAACGAGAATTCTTCCAAGTCTGGTAGGTTCTACTTTCCTTTACATGATTTTTCACTCGTGCGCTATGTGCAAAGTGTTAGTTCTTACCTATTGTAGTGCATGGCTAGCTACCATATTCTTGTTTCATATTGTTTACCGTTGGCATTATTTAGCATGTACATAATTGGTTCTTGCTGACAGGGTTCGATGTGAGCCTTTTAAAGAGGCAGTGCCACGAAAGATGCATAGTTAAAAAAATTGGGGGACCCTTAAGCTTTGATTTTAAAAGTTGAATGCAATAGCGATATCTTGTCCCTAGTGTGTGCTTGAACCACTTATTGCATACTTTTTATTGTATGATGTTACTTAAGAAGATTAAATTGTGGGTTACTACAATGTAATCGATAAAGTTGAAACGGGCTTGTGTCAGTGAAGCTTTTGCATGTGGCTGCACTCTGTATAATGGGTAGCATGCTTTAAACGACGAACAATTATGCCTGTGAAATGTTTCCGAACTTGCTATGCACTCACTACATGGTCTTAAGAGAATAGGCGCAGTAACATACAGGCCTTTTGTAAAGGGTGGCTGGCGTTAAACCATGAAGTAGTTATCATAATCACATGTTCTGACGCCCAATGGCAATGTACGCTTGTACCATGCAATATTACTACTATGCTACATGTTGTATTGTGATAACATGTTTTTGTTGTGTCCGAACTTGCTGTGCACCCACTATGTGGTCTTAAAGGATTACGCCCAGTAATGTGTGTGCCTTTTGTAATGAGTGGCTGGCTTTAAATCATGAAGTAGTTACAATAATCACATGTTCTGAAGCCCGATGACAATGTACGCTTATGCCACGCAATATTACAGTGGTGGTAGCGCTGCTCCGAAGTGCTCTGAAAGAAAAATGCTGCATCAGGCTGCTCCAAACAGTAATTTTTGTTAGTCATTACTCCAATCCTGCTCCGGAATGGCACTGATATAATGAGAATGACAATGTTAAGTTGTTTGACCAGCTCATAATATTTAAGGAAACTGAAAAGAATCTGTATACCAGCACTCCAGTATGCCACCAGTGCATACATAGCATTATCAGCTTTGATCTCATTTATGCGAAAAGAATGCGCATATTAAGCATATAACTCATTTGACAGTTTTTTTTTTTTCCAGCTAGACGTGCAGGCTACGGTGCAACGGTGTTCACTTAGTGAGACAGTCGCAAAATTTAGCGTGTTTTCAGACGTGCCAGTGAGAATTATGTCTTTTTAGAGTGTTAGCGACTTTTTGGGGAATGTTCAAAATTTCACGTAGAGTGTTCTAAAACAGACATGCAAAATTGGGAAACTGTGAAAAAGTGGAATGCTCGAAATGGGCTTCAATAAATGAGGCCAAAGCATACAGGATCAAGCTGCTTGTGGCTCTGCGATCTTTAGTGTGCAATCCGAGCACTCGCTCTGTTCCAGTTATAGGTGTGCAAAGCGGCTCCGAACGGCTCCCGGTTCACCGCAAACAGGTGGACTAAAGCTGCTCATCTGTCCACAGTCTCGTAGCCAGAGGGTAGCAGCACTGTCCAACATCATTTGCCATAGCAGAAATTGATTTGATTGATTGATTGATTTGTGGGGTTTAACGTCCCAAAACCACCATTTGATTATGAGAGACGCCGTAGTGGAGGGCTCCGGAAATTTTGACCACCTGGGGTTCTTTAACGTGTACTCAAATCTGAGTACACGGGCCTACAACATTTCCGCCTCCAAGAAATTGATTTGAAATATTGTTTAAATAAAAGATAATCTCGGCACGTGTGTTATCAAATCAAAAACTGAGAACTTGGGGGGGGGGGGGGATATCATCATCATCATTTAGCAACTTTTGGCTAAAATTAGCGGCTTTTCGAAGCGTCCTGGTGACTTTGCCAAAAAATTCAACACCACCACTATGGTGGTGAAATGTAAAAATGAGCAGTATTGGTCTTACCTCGTACCGATAATCTTCTGTTTATTTGGCAACAACTATGTGGAACTGTGGTTATTTCTAAAATGTGTTGCTCAGCTTTACCAGTTCGATTTGATTTCTGCTACAAATACTAGTATTTTAATTGTATAGCACATTTCGCAGCCCATTTTACAGAGAAAGCTGTTATGAGATCACAAAAAAAAGAAAGCGTGCAGCGCCGTATTTGTTTCACTGCCAGTTTCCGTGACCACTATCACACGAAATATGAAAAAAAACTTGGTAGATAAGAACACGAAGAACACAGCGAGATTCGAACCTGGGTCCCCTGCGTGCCAGCTCAGTATTGTGCCGTAGAGCCACACCGGTGCTTGAAACTCCGTTGCGAACTTGCCTTAGGCAGGCTTCATGTCGAAAAAGGAATCGCGTATGAGTAATAAAGGGTTTTAGAACAGCAAAGGAAAAGCCAGGCGGCACACAATGCGAATTGCATAACAAGTGGGTCATTCAATGCTCCAGCCCATTACAAAAGCTTGTTCTTGATCACCTATTAACTGTGGTGCATACGAACTTCAGGCATAATTCTTCATAGTTGTCAGCCACGGCATAAAAAAATTGCACAGAATTCCTAGCAAGTGAGTAGCAGATACCACGCTTCTCCAAAAAAATGACGAAGGATAGCGTAGTGATTGCAGGCCTACCAAACGAAAATTCTGATTATATATGGTGGAGTGGGTACCCAGCAAATGTGCTTGTAGCAGTTACCCAAGAGTTTTAAGAAAAGGCTCTGAAAGGCTGCTCTTCCAGCTTTTGCTGTGATGGGGCTGCGCGTTCCGCGCAGGCCTGGCGGTTTTTTGACAACCAGCCATCTTTTTTAATTGTTCGCTTCTTGAAATTTACATCGATTGCTGTCTGTGAAATATATTTCATGACAAACAATAATATTTGTAAGATGCTTCAACAATGCTTTTAACTCCAATTAGTTTATGTCAAATTTTGTATCTGCTCTTAAAACTCCAATAGCTGCTCTAAACTAACATTTTTCTGCTCAGAAAACACTTACGGCTGCTCGAAAACAGTACTTTTCCTGCTCCGAAGTACGCTCCAAAAAAGTAAAATGTCACTTCACTGATATCACAGCAATATTACATGTGGTGTCGTGAAGCCTGTATACAGGACGTGTGTGTTTGTAAAGCGTGAGGGTTATTTTCTCTGCGTTTCTAAGCAGAGGAAGTTTTTTCACTGTATCACCAAGCAGATGTGTGGCAGAAAACCTGCTTGCCACACAGATGTGTTCAATCTCCATTTGGACCCGGAAATTTTATTATTTATTTTATTTGCATCTTTCTCGATTTTTCGGTCATGGATAAGATGATGATTTCTCGCTCACAACCAATGACACCTATGCCGGAATTTCTGCCAAACGAGCTTTTTAAAGCTCTCGCGTTAGAAGAGCTCGAAGTAAATACGAACAAGAATTCACACAGGACCAGCGCTGTCCTCTATTTTATTTTGCGAGAAATGCAGCTTGCCTTCTTTAAGAGGCCTTGCATTTACATTATTGATGCTTGTACTGCTACAATTGAATTAAGATGCAACATGTACCATTTTATAAATGCTTGTCTTGCAGCAATAAGTACAAACATAGACCCTTTTCATAAGTGTATGGCCAGCTTTTCTGCTGGGCAGTTTCTTCAGCTGATGGCAATATAATCATTTTGGTAAATAGAATGTTCCAGTGCAGTTTGTTTGCATTACGACACAATCATGTGTGGCTGTTGTAAAATTTTATGCTATGGAAAGGAAACTTAGAAGGATGAACATGCAGGAGTGCAGGCCTTTTGTAAATGTATGTGGAGTTGGGCTTCACAATCTTCCTGCTGATTAAAAAAAAAAAGTGCCACAAGAATGTGAGCTATAAACCACGAGGGTTTGTGACATAAAATTTTATAATGAATGCAGTAATACAAGCACTGCAATTACGTATCATGCAAACCCCAATTTTGTTGTCATCATTCTGAGTTGAACCACAGCAGTGAACAAAATTATAAAATTTTGGGACATCATCAGTTTTATGTTGATGTTCAGTTTATCGAGGACAAGTAAAACATTTTGATGCTTCATTACTTTCTTATTGCATGTTCCTTTATTGAGCAGTGCCCAGCGTCTGGCATCTTATTATTATTGGTCACATGCATCACCTTGCAGCAGACTGCTGCTCTATGACAGGGATATTTCGCGCGGTTACAGTTTTTACCTGTTACAGAAAGGTAACCAGGGTGACAAATGCTAACCTCGCACACACAAAGATAGCTTTGAACAAACAATTGCAGCATAACATGGTTACAACACATCATTGGCTATTTTCACAGGTTTGGACAAGACTTCAAAGCAAAAAGCCCCACGACCAGTGAAAATTTTGGACACAGGTGCCAGAACAGGTTCTCTATCAAAGGTTGAGGCAGTTACGAGCAAGGAGTCTAACATGGAGACGACATTTGGGAACGATAGCTCTTCAAAAGTTTCCTTCAAGTTGAATGATGGCCACATCGGTGCCCTGTGCACCATTCCAGCACCCCCTGTTGATTCACCCAAGAAGTACACCCTGTACCCTGCCAAGGGTACCACGCTTACTGACCTGTCAAAGGTTGCTGCTGCAGCACAACAGATCCTCGGGCCTTGCGTAATCAAGCGAGTCAAGCTGCGTTCAGGCCAGACTGTGTATGTTTATGGGCAACCTGAAGGCGCCAATGCATCAACAACGGACGGCACACTTCCCACGCAAGAGTGCCCCGATAGTGGTGCTGGTGAAGAGTACCAGCCTCTGCCATCAGGAACCTTGTCAGCCTGGCAAAATGAGCAGGTGTCTACGTTGCAACTCGCAGCACCATCTGCATTGGCGGAGCCAGACGCGCAACCCAGCCTTGACGAGGAAATGCCAGAGGTTACATATGAGGAAGACACTCAGGACAGGTTATTGCAAGGCACTGAAGAAGACCAACAAGCTTATCACAGTGGCAATGTCGACGAAGAGGAGGGTGATTTGGGGGACACTTCGGAGTGGATCTCGGGTGACGGTGACACTTGCATCGTGATGAAACTGCCCGTGACCTCGGACGAGGAGGAATCTTCATCAGACGAGTCATAGCATCAGTTGCCATTGGTTGCCAAACACCTGTGGAGTGTTAGTAGAGACACAAGCTTTTTGTTTTGAGAAAACTGTGTTGCACCAAAGATCAATTTGCGCCTTACCCTCCCTCTCGTGACTTAAAGTGACAAGCCCTTGTGAAGCGGCTGTGACTCATACTGGCATGCCCTGGCTGATGCTCTTCCAGCCAAGCTGTGCCATCTCAGCTACAAGCTGTGCTCAATCTAGGACAGGCAAGAGCGAACCACCACGGGCATTTGAAAGCATTTCGTTTCTTTGTTCAGTGTGTGTGCACCGTTTGGGGACAGAGTGGCATCGCCACCTGGAGGTGCTTTCGGCAGTGGCGGGTAATTTCTCAAGTGAGGATAACTGAGCCGTGCATAGACTTTTGCTGCTGTTCAATGAATTCAGTGACCATTTTGTTGTAAATAGTATGTGTGTTTTTTGTTTTTTTTTTTGTGAATTGTCATGCTTAATAAAAGAACCATGAAGTCCCAGTCCTACTGGTAAAAGTGCACTGTGTAGAACTATGCATAATAGGCTTTGTCGGTGCTCATTTGTACTCTAAAATGAAGTGCAGAGTGAAGCTTGGTTTGAAATTATATGCGTAACCATGGCGTAACTGAATGTTCTAGAACACTGAATCTGTGCTTTAACAGGCGTAGAATCGTATGTGCATTAGCTTTGTCTAGACTTTGATTGAATCAGGACTCAATGCGCAGTTTGCCAGAATATCGCCTGTTGGAGTGGCAGTGTAAAATAATCTCTATTATAGCCAATTGTATCTTTCTAAACCTTATGCGTTCTTCCAACTCGTTTAGCTTAGTGATCATTGATAAGGATGTGTATGCTTGTGCAGAAGTTCTGTTAAAAATCGTAGAAATGTTCCGAATATGCGAGAGTGAACAGGTTTTATACCTGAAAGAGTTGACGCTTGGGCAGGTTGGTGGGGATCCATTTCAAAATGTTTACAGTGCGTAGAGTGATGAGGAGAGGACAAGACAATAGAGGCAAATAGCGCTCCTTGCCTCAATTGTCTTTCTTTTTTGATCGTTCTATGCGATGTGAATAGTTTGAAATTTAGGTATTATCGCTTGCTGCATGTGCTGGCTCCGCTTTGTTGCAATCGGCGTGTGAGCGCAATGACGCCCTTGTGAATATACCTACCATGAGCAAAGTTCTCCTGAATATCAAGCTGGGAGTAGGTGTTTGACCGGAAGAGCTTGAAAGAGATTAGTATATAGTTTTGCTTGTGCCACTAAAACGCATTGTGAACAGAAAGTGATAACCATGCATTAAGAAGTTTTGGCAAACATCGATCACATCATGAAAATATTCAACGTTGCTTTTCCTGATGGTTATACATGCCGTGGTGGTCTTTCACGATCATCAGTTAAAGTGTTGCGCAGGTAAGCATGGGGGGTGGCGCAGGTTCTAGATTTGTGGCCGCAGCTGCCCCATTTCTATCAAGGCACAATGCACCATGCACTTTCAAGTCGTGCAGGCGGTCTCTTAAACTGTGGTCTGAATTCATCTGTAGTTGTCCATCTCGGCATATCTCGTGATTGTGGCTGTGGTGCCGTACGTGAACTTTTTTTTATTCCTGCTGTGGATGGTATTTTGCGAAAAAAAAAAAAAAAACTGACAAGAAGCTGGAGAGAACAGACAGCTGGCATCCCCGTCTTGTCATATTCTTTTTACACTAGCTTTATCGTCACAATGAAGTTTGTTGTGTAAACGATTAATGTGCCCCCCCCCCCCCTACCCTGTCTTCCCCATTGAATGAGCTGAAACCGTGGACACTGAGCAAAATTTAGAGTGTAGAGCACACCTAAGTACCTTGAATTGTGCAACCTATTGAGCGAAAATGGGACAATTCTTTGATAGTGGCGCGAATGCAAAACATAGCCGCATTCAATGTATTTCAATTTTAGTTTTGTCCTTGTTGATTTTTTTCCATGATTTCGTTCTGCAACTAGTTTTTCTCGGGCCAATTGGCATTTACAAGACATGATCTTGTAGGGGCAAAACTTGATTTGAAAGAGGAAGAGTCCGACTTATCTATTTATATCTGCCTCTTAGCGAGCCTTCCCTTTGCTCTTAAAAGCTGTTGCTTTACCTGAACTGCTCAGAACAATTGTGTTACCATGCTTTGCTGTGTTGTCGTAGCTCATCGCGGAGGCCACGTTTGTAGAATAGGCTTTGATCTCAAAAGTTGCGATTAGGTTTCTGCCAACTCACATTCATGCACCTTGGCAGTGTCTGTCTGTGCGCCGGGTTCGTCCTCTATGTAATTAACTCAAGAGGTCAGAGAGAGAGGGTAAGCTAGCGGTGGGTTGAGTTGCTGCTTTTGACCTGCAGTTTGATCAGCTGGAGGGAATTGCAGTATGACTATTATCGATGTTAGACCTTGTGGTCTAGAAGCATTGAGAAAGTCTCAAACTCAACCACGGTTCGAGCCAGAGTTGGCGTGCTACGGTAGAAGGTAAACCCCGGCCACATTCTGTGATTTCCCGGTACTTAGCGTGTGCACGTGAATGGTTTCTTCGATAATCTTGTAATGCAGCGTGCGTAGTGGCGGCTAGATCTGCACTGGCTGCCTTGTCTTGCTGCACTGCACCTCGTCGTCTGGCGTTTGCAGCACACAGAAGCTAATAGCGTTTGAGATTTGAAGCTATATTTCGTAGGCGCTATGTGCCGTGTCATAGAAGAAGCGGCAGTGCTTTCAGACACCTGCGGCTCTGTGGTCCGTTGCTGGACCTTTAGAAGGTCGGGCCGTCGTAGCGTAGCGGTACGTAGACAAAACCACGAATCCGTGCATATCTGTAGCATATATATGGCGCTGTATATTTCATATACAGCAACGTAGAGCTAGTCAATGATTGCCGCGATGTGCAATGAGATTCTCGGAGTCGTGGTGCGAGCGCGGTTGCGGAACCATGTCGTGGTACTACGAGGGTTGCAGCACGGGTTTCTATAGCAGTTTTCGAGCGGCGCGTGTGCGAGAGCGGGCGGGCGTGTCGCAATGAAGGTTCGGGGCCCGCTCCACGTGGCTGCCGGGACCGAGTGGCCGCCTCTGCACAGGTCGGTGGCCGAACCCCCTTCCCCGTCTATAAATGCCCGCCACGTCGGTCCGAAAATAAGCGCCAGGAGATGGTTGCGTCATGTCCGCTACTCCCGTGATGCCACCTCCCGCTGCTGAGAGTATTTATAGGGACGTGCGTTTTCTGGCCCCACTCCTCGCGAACGTCCTGGCAACGCCCGCAGTGCGCCTGCGCTATCAACGTCGACGGCTTGTCGTTGCGAGAACGTGTTTGACATGAGAGTGAATCCGGTACTTCTGTCTTCCAATCAAGGAGGTTTTTTTTTTTTTCGTTTTTTCAAACGCGCATACACATCACGACCAGCTGGGGGTCATGAGGATAACTTCGCGATGCATTCTAACCATGTCGCGTTGCTTCTAAGTCACGTCGAGTGCTTTGAAAACTATCGATGGCGTGTATCACCGATTTCAATGCGCGATCGAGGAAGTTGAAAACTGGATACAGACATTATGTTGTCGAATAGTACACGAGTGTTGAAGATTGGGCGAGTTGGTTCATCGTACTTGAACTGGTATAGCGCATTACGGGGAAGAAGAAACGGCCGAGCAGACCGACACATTAGTCAGTTGGAAGTTAGCGCTCTGTCCTCTTGTGTCGGTCTGCTCGGCCGTTTCTTCTTCCCCGTAATGCGCTATACCAGTTCAAGTCGAATAGTAATCTGCCATACGGTTTCCTTTCACAAGTTTTCCATCTGCACTGGACCGTGCGTAGATGATCCCGTATGCGGACGTCACACACTCTTCAGCTGCTAGCCCGCTGCATTTAGCGGCTTTGTTTAATTAAGCACGCACTATTAGATAAGTCGGTTTTCTCGCCAAGGCGCTTCGTAATTTATGGCCTAGTCATGCACACATGCGTGGGCCTTCTTCCGTACCGGCGCTCCCTCGCGATGAAATGCTGAAGTTCTTCCTACGAATGCTGACGTCACTGCCCTGTATGTGGCGTCGCTAAACTTGCGTATCTAGCGATGGTTCTCGCGGCTTCGTAACGGCCCAGAAAACGCACGTGTGGCGAGGGAGTTCCGGCCTTTTCGTACAGCCCCTCTCTCTCTTCCTTGCGCGCTTCCTGTCGCGAGCACTGTCTTTCCGCTTGGGCTCGCGCTCTTCGGTGCGTGCAAGCCGCCTCAAACCCAGCGTCTCGGTCCGCTTACGCTGGAGTGTACTAGCACCGCTTGGCATATCAAATGTAAGGCCGCGCCCGCAATTAAAAGCCTAGAAAATGTAATCGTGAGCTTCAGTGCGCTTTGAAAATAAATTAAAACATGATTGTTGAGGAAGCTAGATTTGGTTGCTTACATTTCAGACTTAAAAAAAAAAAAAAGTTCAATTTTAAGCTGCATTATTGAACCAAACATTTTTCAACTGGAAAGACTTTCGGTTCCGCAATGCAGCCATAATTCAGCTAGAAATTAATGGATATATTCACAGTAACTCTGTTAGTTTCCGGCTGGAATTAGGCCACACTCCAGCTAGAGATTCATATATTTCAAGCAACTACAGACCTTTTCACGAACGGCTCCCTGAGCGCCGATAATAGGCATGACCCCCCCCCCCCCCAAAAAAAAAAAAGAAAAAAAAACACGTCCGCCACTTTCCACGGTGGGTACTCTAGTAAATGCGTCGCAGAGTGGTGAGAGAGAGAAACAACATTTTTGTGCATCCGGCGTGCGGGAAGTCCGCGCAGGGCGCGGGTATTCCCTATCTAAAAACTATAGCTAATAGTCCTATAGTCCCAGGCTCTAGATCTTGAGGATGTTGTGCTCTGGCTAGGCATTGGATACTCGGGCTCCTCCGCTCCCGTTGTCCGGGGCGTCGGTTCCCTTTCTCGTCTGCTTTGCCAGGGCCTCCTCAAGCCGCTGGATGGCCCTTCGTTGTGTGTTTAAGTCTTGGGAGCGTA